CTGGGCTCAAGCGAGTCTCCTGCCTCTGCCTCCCAAGTAGCTGGGACCACAGGTGCCCGCCACAACGCCCGGCTATTTTTTGGTTGCAGCTGTCGTTGTTGTTTTGGCGGGTCTGGGCTGGGGATTCGAACCCGCCACCTTAGGTGTATGTGGCTGGCGCCTCAGCCGGTTGAGCTATAGGCGCCGAGCCCCCAAAAGTAGTTTTTAATGGAGAATTTTCTAGATCTTAAATACAAAAGTTTTTTGTATTTTTTTTTTTTTGAGACAGTTTTCTTCTGTTGCCCAGGCTAAAGTGCCGTGATGTCATCATAGCTCACAGCAACCTCAAACTCTTCCTCTTGCCCCAGCCTCCCATGTAGCTGGGACTATAGACACCCACCACAATGCCCAGCTATTATTTTTGTTACAGTTGTCACTGTTGTGTGATAGGCCCTCGGCTGGGTTCAAACCTGCCTGCCATGGTGTATGTGGCCAGCACGCTAACCACTATGCTACTGGCACTGAACTTATCTTTTTTTTTTTTTGAGACAGAGCCTCAAGCTGTGCCCCTGGGTAGAGTGCAGTGGTATCACAGCTCACAGCAACCTCCAACTCCTGGGCTCAAGCGAGTCTCCTGCCTCCGTCTCCTAAGTAGCTGGGACTACAGGCGCCTGCCACAACACCTGGCTATTTTTTGATTGCAGCCGTCATTGTTGTTTGGCGGGCCTGGGCTGGATTCGAACTCGCCACCTTAGGTGTATGTAGCTGGTGCCTTAGCCACTTGAGCCACAGGCGCCAAGCCAAACTCATCTTTCTTTTTGGGAGTCGAAGCTCGCCTCAGGAAGGTTGAAGTGCGCTCTTCAATCTTCTCTCTGAGCTCCACTCCAAACCATCAGCTCCCTTGTTAAACTTCTGTCCTTTAAGTCTTCTGGACGGGAGCTTCTGTAAAAAGCTGGCTGCAGTCTGCCATCTTGGCTCCACCCCCCCAAACTCATCTTTCTTGTTGTTGAATACTTCTGTTTTCTGATCAGCCTTCCCTAGGAGATTCCTTTTATTGGCCTTTTGAGAGAACCAGATATTGGGTGTTAACATTTCTTCTACTATTTTTGAGACAGAGTCTTACTTTGTTGCCCTGGGTAGAGGCCCTGGTGTCATAGCTCACTGCAACCTCAAATTCTTGGGCTGAAGTGATCCTTTTGCCTCAGACTTCCAAGTAGTTGGAACTACAGGCACATGGCCACAAGTTTTACTGTTTTTAGGAGAGAGGTGATCTTCTCTTGCTAAGGCTGATCTTGAACTCCTGAGCTCAAGCAATACACCCACCTTGGCCTCTCAGGGTGGTAAAATTACAGGAGGGAGCCACAGAACCTCACTGATGTTGGTGATTTTTAATTTAATTAAAGATGGAGTATAGGGCGGTGCCGTGGCTCAGTGAGTAGGGCGCCCGCCCCAATACTAAGAGTGGCGGGTTCAAACCCGGCCCTGGCCAAACTGAAACAAAAAAAATAGCCGGGCATTGTGGTGGGTACCTGTAGTCCCAGCTACTCTAGAGACTGAGGCAAGAGAATCACCTAAGCCCGGGAGTTGGAGGTTGCTGTGAGCTGTGACGTTACAGCACTCTACCGAGGGTAACAAAGTAAAACTGTCTCTAAAAAAAAAAAAACGTTTTCTTTGTGGTTAAGTACTTGATTGACTTCTCTAAATAGTCATTAGATATAAAAAGATTTTATAGTCCTTTCTTTTTTTTTTTTTTTAAAAGACAGTCTCACTTTATCACTCTCCATGGTAGAGTGCTGGTGTCACTGCTCACAGCAACCCCCAACTCCTGGGCTTAGGCAATTCTCTTGCCTCAGCCTCCCGAGTAGCTGGTACTAATAGGCGCCCACCACAATGCCCAGCTATTTTTTGTTGCAGTTTGGCTGGGACTGAGTTTGAACCTGCCACCCTCTGTATATGGGGCCAGTGCCTTACCCACTGAACCACAGGCACAGCCCAGGATTTTATATTCTTCAGGGAACACAGTTCTATCGATATATATATAAATGAATATGAAACTACAGGTATGTGGAGAGAGACAAAGGGTTTTGTGTATCTGTGGGCACCAGTACCCACGCACACACGTGCATGTAGCCCTTTTATTGCCAGAGCCATTTGAAAGTAGAAAGTAAATTTCCGGCCCAGTGCTGTGGCTCATGCCTGTGACTGTGGCACTTTGAGAGGCAAAGGCGGAAAGATTCCTTGAGGCAGGAATTTGAGCAAGAGTGAGACCCTCTCTACTAGAAAATAGAAAAATTACCTGGATGTGGTGGTGAGCGTCTATAGTCCCAGCTCCTCTCTCGGGTTGCCATGGTGGTGGTTTGCAATTCTATCATCTCTTGTGTATTTACTAGCCTTTCTAAAGGGTAGAGGCCTGCCCACACTCTTTTTTGTTTTACTGTGGATTCAGTGGAATTTCTTTTTTTCTTTTTTTTTTTTTTTACAGTTTTTTTTCCCAGGGCCAGGATTGAACTGGCCACCTCTGGTATATGGGGCCAGCGCCCTACTCCTTTGAGCCACAGGTGCCACCCAGTGGATTTTTTTTAATTCAATGTCTTATGACCCATTTATGGTGGTAGTTTTTTTTAGAGACAAAGTTTCACTTTGGCGTCCTTGGTAGAGGCTGTGATGTCATAGCTCACAGCAACCTCCAGCTCTTGGACTTAAGCGATTCTCTTGCCTCAGCATCCCGAGTAGCTGGGACTACAGCACAAGCGCCCACCACAATGCCCAGCTATTTTTTGTTGCAGTTTGGCCGGGGCTGGGTTTGAACCGGCTACCCTCGATATATGGGGCCGGTAGCCTACTCACTGGGCCACAGGCACTGCCCAATGGTGGTAGTTTTCAAACTGTCATCTCCAGTCAGCAATGCTACTTTACCCGGGGATGTGTTGGAAATATGCAAATCAGTAACCTAGAGGCATCCAGAAATCTGTTTAAATTAAGCCCTTCTTGTATATAATTCTGGTGGATAATCAAGCTGGAGAACCATCCCATTATTATTGTCCCAAATTTGGCCAGTGGATATCTGATATGCAGCTAAATGGATGGCACAATTGGAAGATAGCAGAAGGCATTCACAATAAGTGATAAAGTGAACAGTGAGATCACTTTCTTATAAAAACAGTGGAAAAGGGCTTGGTATCTGCAGCTCGGTAGTTAGAACACCAACCTTGTGCACCAGAGTGGCAGGTTCAAACCTGACCTGAGCCTGCTTAACAAAGAAAAAAGGTCTTGACAATCAGTGAAAAGAAAATGCTCAGTGAGTTGGGTGTAGGGCTAGTGAACTTAATGTCTTATTTTACATCCTATTGTGCCTTTTGATTTGAGTTTTTGCCAGAAGCTGTAGCTCTTTAATAATGGACAGGAAGAAAACAGCACTGTAGATTCAAGTTCAACTAGGAGGAAACCAGCAGCAAAAAGAACTCTCTGCTGTCTTGTTCAAAGAGGTTCGAGTTGCTGTGCTAATGCCACAGAACACAGTGACTGTTATGTGACCATCTATAATGAAAAACTACAAGTACATCAGGCATTTATATGTCCTGCATTTTTTCTAATTCCCCCCTCAATGCACAGCTAACAGCTCAATGGCAACCTGTGGGATCACAAAGCAGACACCTGGAGGCACCCAATTCTCAGTTACAAATAGTGCCGATTATACTGACAGCAGAATGACGTACCCAGCAGGTTGGAAGTCTGGGGTTCCAGTTCCTACTCGATTACTTATTGGCTCCCTGACTGCAAAATTGACTTAAACTCCGTAAGCCCTTTTTCTATCTGCGAAAAGGAGAGAAAAACACCCTCCCAAGCAGAAGCACCAGGTGGAATTCTGTGGTTCAAGCGTCTGCACTGCCTTGTATGTGGGAGCTCTGGGTAGCCCTGAACTGAAGCTATTCCTTTCTCTGCTAAGCGAGTACTATGGACCTCATGGGATCAGATCAAAACTGTAAGGAATCCGGCTCGGTGCCCGTAGCACGTTATAGCGCCAGCCACATACAATGAGGCTGCCGGGTTTGAACCCGGCCAGGCCCAGCTAAGCAACAATGGCAACCGCAACAAAAAGTAGTCGGGCGTTGTGGCGGGCGCACAGTCCCAGCTACCTGAGAGGCTGAGGCAAGAGAATCGCTTCAGCCCAAGGGTTTGAGGTTGCTGTGAGCTGTGATGCCACTGTACTCTACCGAGGGCGACATAGTGAGACTCTGTCTCAAAAAATTAAAACTCTAGGTAACCCTCCAGTATTATCTTTTCCAGCCTGCCAGGCACACCTATTTTCCAAGGCCACAGAAGGGAAGTGGGCGCCAAAGGTGGGTGAACAAACCGCTGTCCCCCACCTGGGAGCCAGGGAGTGTCCGCTGAAAGGCGGTGTTTCAGCGCCTTGGCTGAATGATCATTTTTGTTGGGGGGTTTCCTGTCCACGCTGCCCTTCCTGGGAGCCAGGGAGTGTCCCAAACGTCCACAGTCCAGCCCTAACTAAACACTCGGTAACTGACATTGAACGAAAGTTCTCCGAACTTCTGCTAGTGGTCAGTAACTATTTCAGCAAGTAGAGCCTGAAGGCGTGAAAGAACGGTAACCATGACAACTGAAAGGCGGGGCGGAAGTGGTGGGCCTCTGGGAGGAAGGGGCGGGGCTACCAGGGTCAATTTATAGGCGGGAAAGGAGCCCGTTTGTGACCGGCGTCTTTCTTCTTTGGGTGCTGTGTCCTTTCACCCTCGCCAGCCATGGAGAAGCAGCCGGAGGAGCAAGCCGACCCCGAGCCTGCGGACAACGGAGGGGCAGGCGGGCCGCCCCAGGCCGCCGGAGGCCAGCAGGCCCGCAGCGAGGACCGCATGACCCTGCTTCTCAGGTTGTACCTTCTGGCCGCGGCTGCGGGAGCAAGTGGGCGTGGTGGCCCTGTGTTGCGCGGTTTGCTCGGAAAGGCTCGGGTTCGAGTTCGTACTCGATTACTTATTGGCTCCCTGACTGCATCTTTGTTTGACTTAAACTCCTTAAGCCCTTTTTTCATCTGCTAAAAGGAGAGAGAAAGGACATCCTCCAAGCAGAGACGCTGTGCGGTTTAAATGAGATAGTCTAGGAAAATGTTCAGTACAGTGCCCAGGGCCTTTAGAAAGTCCTTAGGAGCGGCAGTTTCCCCTTCCATTCTCTCCTCACGCCTTGGGTCTCTGGTTTTCTGGAGGAACAACTGTCTCCCAGTGGGAGAGTGCTCCGCACATTTCTTTTGCCGCTGTCACCCATTGTTTTTCAGAATCTTTGTTATGTATTCTGCTTAAGAGGACAGTGTTTATGCTTTTCTACAAATAAGTTACTAGGGAGGATTTGATGAGAAGAGACAATCTTCCAAATCAGTGAACAAACTAGTACCCTACTGCCTATTTTTGTGTGTACAAGAATAGTACCAAAGAATAGATTTGTTTGCTTGCATGGTTGGGGAGGGGGCTAAGAGCATAAGAATTTATCATAACACACGAAAACAATATGAAAATACAAATTTCAGGCTAGACGCCTGTGGCTCAAGTGGCTAAGGCGCCAGCCACATACACCTGAGCTGGCGGGTTCAAATCCAGCCCGGGCCGCCAAACAACAATGACGGCTGCAACCAAAAAATAGCCGGGCGTTGTGGCGGGCGCCTGTGGTCCCAGCTACTTGGGAGGC